GGTGGGCGCCTGTAGTCCTAGCTACTTGGGAGGCTGAGGCAGGAGACTCGCTTGAGCCCAGGAGTTGGAGGTTGCTGTGAGCTGTGATGCTATGGCACTCTACCCAGGGGGATAGCTTGAGGCTCTGTCTCAAAAAAAAAATAAATAAATAAATCACAGTAAATCTGTAATGTAAAGGATTTTAGGATTTCTTTTGAAGGGGGTAGGTGAGACACAATCTCTCTTTTGCCCCAGCCTAGAGTGCCATGATAGCCTAGCTTACAGCAACTTCATACTCTTTGAGTTCACGCAATCCTCCTCCTCCTCCTGCCTCAGCCTTCCCAGTAGCTGGGACCATAGGCAACTGCCACCAACACCCAGCTAATTTTTTTACTTTTATTAGAGACGGGGTCTTGCTCTTGCTTGGACTGGTCTCGAGCTCCTGAACTCAGGGGATCCTCCGTCTTGCTTCTCAGAGTGCTAGGATTATAGGCATGAGCCACCATGACCGCTGGTATTTAAGATTTTTGCATCAATTTTTATCTCTAAAATAAGGACTCACTTAATTGACCCCTGTTTCTGCAGGATAACTGAGCAAGGATCCCTTGTGTATTTCACTGTATTTGTTAACTGGACAAATGTGTTTTTCAGCAGCTAATTCTGAAATGTCTTATATTTCAAATTTTATCTTTAAAGTAATTTCCCATATTGCCTAGTTCAAGGCTAAGTACACTATAAATGCTTAAGAAATACTTAGTATTGATTAAATAACAGAAACTGTAAACTGTTAACATCATTTGATCTCTTTATTCCTTTGTGTAATGGGTGTTTTAGAGCTGGGCATGAAGGAACTATTTTTATTATAAAAATAATATAAACTCTAGTTGTACTAAGAAGTATGCTGATTTATGAATGATTGATTTTTTTCCTCTTATTTTCAGATTTCTTCTTAAAGTATAAACTGTAGTATTGTGGAGTATATTTATTAAAATGTTTTGTGGTAAATGTTTTAGGTGAGTTGTTAAAGTGTGTTCTTTATATTTAAACATTCCATTATATTCTGACATTATATTCCATTATATTTCTGACATTGTTACATCAGAAACACTCCTATCGGGATGGTCATCATTTCTTACAATGAAAGGACTGAGGGGAGTGTATATTTCCAGAGAAGCCTGGGTATGAATATTCTCATAGCACAGTATGTCCAATAGGTATTCGGTAACTATTGAATGAATGGTTCAATGCAAACCTGCCTCCACAGGGTGAAATTTGTTCTGAAGACCAAATTTAACATTGTGTAAGTCTTTCCAAAAGAACCCAGTAAACTAAAAATCAAAACATATTGGTTTAAATTCTAACTGAGCTCTACATTTAGCTTCATAATTTTGGACAAGCCGTCATACCTTTCTAAGTTTTAGTCTCCTCAAATATAAAATGAAGGAATTGGGTAAAAATAATCAAATGCTCGCTAAGATTTTTCCCTCTTCTAAAATGCTATATAAACTTTCAACACTGGCCTTTACTTAACCTTTACACATTCAAAAACTCTCTGTCTTCCCCCTTTAAAGTATACCAGTTGGTCTCTGTATCACACTGTCTACTCACAAATGCTCTTTAGTACTCCCACAATTGTCTGTTCCGCCAGTTGAGTCATTACCTTTAGAGAGTCAATAGTGTTTATCCCAAACCTGTTTATGTTGCTTTTACTTGTTATTATACTTATGTA